TACGGATGTCCCAATACCATTTTTTCAAGACCAATTACAAGTACCGGCCAATACCAATTGACGATACTTTTTCTTAAAGGGACATGTGACATTTTTTCTAAAATAATACAGACTAATGATTTTAGGGCAGTTTCTTTACAATTATGAAGAACTGTTACTCAATCCATGATTAGTCAGCAATGGAGAATGGCAACCAGCGATAGAGGACTACAGATCCCAGCGATAGAGGACTACAGATCCCAGCGATAGAGGACTACAGATCCCAGCAATCCATGATTAGACAGCAATTATACAGGGCTGTGTGTAGTCTCACCAGGGTTGCGGGTGGATGCTGGGCTCCAGGGGCTGAATGGGGGTGTGGGGTCGCCCAGTGCTGTGCCTGTCTCTACGGGCGCAGGGAAGGGGGCCGGACCGGCTACAGCAAGACAGCTATGGCAAGGTCCCCAGCAAGTGTGGGACCTCAGGCAGCCGAACTTGTTTAAAAATATAAAGGTCTGGTCTCTAAAGGCCCCCGGATACTAGTATCGGTATCGGGACATCCCTACAGTGATGTCAGTGAAGACTGAAGGGAAGGACGGAGGTCAGATAGAAGACTGAAGGGAAGGACGGAGGTCAGATAGAAGACTGAAGGGAAGGTCAGCTAGAAGACTAAAGGGAAGGACGGAGGTAGGGGTGTCCCCAGGCCAGGGGTCACCCAGGAGCTGGGACCGAGCGACACCCCGCCATGACATCATTGCGCATGCGCAGCTATCTTACTGACGCCTGCCGGCTGCCATCTTCCTGATAGATGCCGGCAGATAGAGGAGGGGACGTTCATCCGGTGGGAAGAGGTATGAAGGGAAGGATGGAGGTCAGATATAAGACAGAAGGGAAGGACGGAGGTCAGATATAAGACTGAAGGGAAGGCCGGAGGTCAGATATAAGACTGAAGGGAAGGACGGAGGTGAGATAGAAGACTGAAGGGAAGGCCGGAGGTCAGATAGAAGACTGAAGGGAAGGACGGAGGTCAGATAGAAGACTGAAGGGAAGGACGGAGGTCAGATAGAAGACTGAAGGGAAGGACGGAGGTCAGATAGAAGACTGAAGGGAAGGACGGAGGTCAGATAGGAGACTGAAGGGAAGGAAGTGTGCGGAAATGTTACTCACCCATGTGACCGCACTGGGCCAATCAGACACATGGGCATTTCACAGCCCTGTGTAAGCTCTGACTCTAAGGACTCACAACTTTCCCTTTTACTATCAGCGGCTGCTCGGACCACCGGGGGGCACAACATTTATTAGGGGTGCATTGTACTCATACTGTACCGTAGACTTGTGCGCCGTCAAAAAATTTGTTCCGTTTCGTTTCGGAATATCCGTTATTTCGTAATTCGTGTCCGAAACTCAATTCAGATTCGTACGAAATACGGATTTTCGTTAGTTTCGGCACATTTTCATAACTTTACGAACATTCGTTATGATGAAGTTAAAAAGCAAAAATACCTTTGTTAATATTGGAGTCGATGTGGTAGTTGTTTTTTTTAATCCGAAATACGAATTCAGTTAACGGATTCCGGATCCGAATTTCGTATTTCGCACTTTAAAAAAAACTACCATCAGTCAACTCCAATATAAATGTACTTTGCTTTTTACCTTCAATATAACGAATGTTCGTAACGGAACGAAAATAAGTCAACGGAATTTTGGATTTCCTGCCTGTGTATTGTAATGCAACTCTCAGCAGCAGCGCATCCGTATTTCGGATAAAAAAAAAAAATCTTGTCATGTTGTTCAACCTCATTTACAGGGGTAATATTAGTTCCCGTTTCAAAGAAATTCGGATCCGAAATTCGTTAACGGAATTTCGTAGTATTTCGGATGCTTACGAATCTACGAATTTCAGGAAAATTCGTACGAATTTCGATTCGTAACGAAACGAATCGCACATGTCTACTCTACCGCGCTGTCATGTGATCACAGATTGTATTTAGCGGGTTGCACATGTTATAACAATTCCCTGCAAAAAATGTAACACCGGAGTTATTCTTTAAAACTTTCCGAAAATCCCCCAACCCGCCCCTCCCCCCCTCCTATTAATGACCCTGCTCATAACATTTCGCACTCGGCTACGGGAGAGCCCCCACGCCGCGCACAAACCCGCCACGTTTAGCTGGAGACAAAAAAAAAAGACGTTCTCCTGACATTTTTGGAACATTGATATCGCGCAATAAATGTCACTTAACTTTCACCTCTATTATCCGGAGTCATTATTCAGCATATTCTGCGGCGGATCGGAGGGCGGTGAGTCAGGCGTTCCGTGAAATGCGCCGGCATCCAGGATAATCCAATTGACATTTGAAGTCCGGAACACGGCGCTCACCTAAAATTGTAACAAAAATAATTCAAAGACGGCCCCAGCGGGAGGGGCGGGATGGGGGAGGGGGACATGATTAGATTGTCGCTGGACAGGTGAAGCCAAAACAAAGCTCCCCATGTGACGCCACTTAAAGGGGAACGGTATCTATTTTCTGCGTGGACGCATTCTGAGTCATTCAATTTACTTGAAAGTCATTGTTACGTCCCGATAGAAACATAATTACAGGATAATAGAAGATCCGCGTCCATCCAGCTCCACAAAAAGACCAAAATTACATCAGAAAGTGCAATGTGGCTGCCGCGGTTGTTTTAATTTTTCTTTACTTTTTGCTCTTCCGCATCTTTATTACTGTATATCATTGATGTCAGTATTCCATATGCTGTACTCTTGAGTACTGCCCCTCCTTCTCCCAGTCTGACTGTAAATGCTGCCCCTCCCTCTCCCAGTCTGATTGGTTTTGAGTACTGCCCCTTCCAGTCTGATTGGCTCTGAGTGTTGCCCCTTCCTCTCCCAGTCTGACTGGCACTGACTTCTGCTCCTTCCTCTCCCAGTTTGATTGGCTCTGAGTGTTGCCCCTCCCTCTCCCAGTCTGACTGGCACTGAGTACTGCCCCTCCTTCTCTCAGTCTGGCTGTGAATGCTGCCCCTCCCTCTCCCTGTCTGATTGGCTGTAAATACTGCCCCTCCCTCTCCCAGTTAGCTTGGCTCTGAGTACTCCCTCTCCCAATCTGACTGGCCTTGAGTACTGCCCCTCCTTCTGTCAGTCTGGCTCTGAATGCTGCCCCTCCCTCTCCCAGCCTGATTGCCTCTGAGTGTTGCCCTCCCTCTTCCAGCCTGATTGGCTCTAAGTGTTGCCCCTCCCTCCTTGATTGGCTCTATGTGTTGCCCCTCCCTCTCCCTGTCTGATTGGCTCTAAGTGTTGCCCCTCCCTCTTCCAGTCTGATTGCCTCTGAGTGTTCCCCTCCCTCTTCCAGCCTGATTGGCTCTAAGTGTTGCCCCTCCCTCTTCCAGTCTGATTGGCTCTGAGTGCTGCCCCTCCCTCTCCCAATCTCTAGAAAAGACTCTCTCTGCAGATTTTCCCTTTGTTGCACATTTTCGGGGTCAGAATTACTCCGGTACCTCAGGATCCGCAGTCCGGTCCAGGAAGTCCCAGATGGATATAATATGGAGGATTGCCGCCCCGTGCGATTTCCGGGCTCCTTTCTCCCCATCGGAGACTTTGCCTTTCACTGAGCACAGACTGGTCCTCTTTTTTCGGAGAGGCGGGACCAGGGATCCGTCTTGCAGGGGGATAATCCATATCAATTTATTGCCCGACGTCGATTAATTAAGCATGGCCGAACGTCTGGTTGTAGCACCCGGCTTCCCGCTCTGACAATGAGGAGACGAGACAGCGGAGGTCATTCACAGCGCTGAAAGACATCCAAAAACTTTTCCTGAAGGAAAATCGGAGGCTGGACACATGGAGGCTGCTGTATTTATAGGTGCAGCCTCCGTCATCTCCATCCTCGCTGCACCCACTAGGGAGTCATGGAATGAGAATGCAGCCAGTGAAGTCTGAACCATTGTGAAGTCTGTTTTAAGCTTTGAGTGACAGGTGCGCTTTAAAGCCAAACTGCAGCCCGAAACTTTATGGTTTTTCTATGACCCCCCACTGAAGACATTTCCGCACACTTCCCTTGGTCACAAGGACAGGAAGTGAGGAGAAATCTAGGTGACGGCGAATAAAAAAACATTTTGGCTGGAGACACGAGTGTAAACATACTCTCTCGTAAGTGATAACATGAAAACCTGCACCCAGCATCAACTAGATCCTGTATCTCCGAAGCAGAGTTCCCGCTATTTGCCAAAGCCGGTTCTTT